ACTGGACCCCTATCTCTGATTCTGGGTGGCTTAAAATGTACCAATTCATAATAAAACCATTCTTTTTCTTAAACTTATATCTAGGTATTTCTAAGAGCAGAGATCACTAAATTTGATTTTAACAACCAATCCCTTATGGCTTAAAACTATAACTGCATTAAATTGCTTACTTTTTATGAAGAAATGAAAAAGTTGTGTCCCTGCAATGAGTACATGCTAGCAAAGACTTAAACGAAGACTTAAATTTCCTATCTAGGATTAGAAAAATATACAAGACTAGACGTACTGCAAAATTTGTTGTACTTCAATATGCCATTGGTTTACCTAAAGAATCATCTGTAACATCATATCAGTAAATCCCTTTTGTGCTTCCTCTGACTGATTAAAAAAGCAACCCTATTTTCAAAATTCTATGTCCTAGAATTCAACCTTCAGACCACCCTTTCTCAGTTTTTTTTCGTAACTCACATGTAATACGTTCGACCAACTGACTGAGGCCGCTGGGATCAAGTTTAAGGAGAGTTAAAAACTTGTTTCGTTCATAAGACTGTTGAGATAAACCTAATCAATGTTGCAAATTAATTTTGCTATGGCAGTGAAGAATGTGCTCGCACCTTCAGCCGTTTGCGTGAAGATGACTTAAACATAAAATTTTGTAGCTTTTAAAAAAATTCCACGGAGGCGAACAAATTTATGTTTTCAAGTGGTGATGGAAAGGCGCAAATTCCAAGGGGGATTTAACTGTTTAAATATAAAAGTGAGAAAATTAAAATCATTATTCCAATGGGCCTTTGATAATTATAGAGACTGAAACTTCGCTTTGCAAGGGAGAGGGACTTGGATTGGCTTTGCAGTATATAGAGACTAAAAATTTGAAAATTCCATTCAGTTCATATTTTGGGTTGGATTCGTTGATATGTTGCAATAAATCTGAACTTTTGTTGAGTATATTGCGCCTGCCACAAGTATGAAAGAAGGGTGTGTGCCTGATTCTTACTCGGGGACAAATCCACTTACAATGCAAATTATAAGGGAATAAGTACAGCGTATTGTAATAGAGGTATAAATCATACATGAAAGAAAGATTTATGCTCTCAAAAAGCTTTGGTTGCCATGAGATGGAAAGCTATACAATGAATTATGATCAAGAGTGGTCCCTAAATGGAGTATATAGCCATCTATCTACTTTCAGTTATCACTATGCCCAGCGTATTTCAATATTTTATTGAAATTTTAATTAATATATAAATTAACATTAAATCTGTACAATTTTTGACACTTACTGATGTTTCGGATAAAAGATATTCGTTTTGCCCCCCCCCCCTCTGTTCAAACCTGCGTCCGGGCGGCCCTGAAATATGATGTAAATTGAGTTATGAATCCGAGTCTAAAACTCCAAAGGACAAATTTGCAAAAGGACAAAGGTATCTTGAAAATATACGCCATACATAGAAAACATTTTATAACAAATATACACAAATTTAATCAAATCCATTAAGGGCCTTGCAAATCACAAATTCACAAATGCATTCGCCCAACCCGAAAAAAGCGGAGTATATGCAAAGGATTTGATAAAGTTCGTTACAAAAGTTCAAGAAAACAAGTCACGATGATTGCGGCTAATTTTCGAAGGCGGCTAAAATACAAGGGGGGCTTATAATACTTTTCCCAGATTGTTTGTTGGAATATGTGTGGCCATTATTTGAAAACCCAGTATCTCTGCACGGTTTTGCGGGTGCGCAGGGCCGCGATTACATCTGTTAGGGTTCTGTGTCCAAAGTTGATTGGGGTCCCTTAAAATATACCCAGAGAGACTGTGTCACGTGAATAGTACTTGGTTAAACAAAATTTTAACCAGCCAGGTTAATATTCACTAAAAAATTTGATAGATAAAAACTATAAGACAAGAATAAATTTGTATCTATTTCACATTTCCGTACATTCCCAATAAAACTACCCTTGTCCCTAGGCTCATGGCGCTAACGCCTTTCGTCTTCACTTTACTGCTGAAGACCTTTGGATGATTTTATTGGGGTAGCAAATTTATCCCAGTACCCAAAGTATTCACTTTTGAAAGTGTCTTTGCTCCTGAATGTAAACAGACTCATGTTTATAATGATGGGGCAAGGCCGATTGCCGAGAGTGCTATAGAAAAATATAATGGAACAATTTTTGCTTATGGACAAACTGGTGGAAAGACATTCAATATGGAAGGCGTAAGGACAGTTCCTGAGTTGAGGGGAATTATCCCAAATTCGTTTGCACATATTTATGGCTTTATTGCAAAAATGGACGAGGATGTAAGGTTTCTGGTAAGAGTTTCATATCTTGAAATTTACAATGAAAATAGGAAAGGATCTAAAAGCAAGGCTCGAGGTTAAAGAGAGACCAGACATAGGTGTTTATGTCAAAGATCTTTCATCATATGTGGTAAATAATGCAGATGATATGGACAGGACAATGACAACTGGAAACAAAAACAGATCTGTTTGCGCAACAAACATGAATGCAACTTCCTCAAGATCTCATGCAGTTTTTACAACAACTATCGAGAGAAGTGAAAAGGGCATTGAACATGTTCGAATGAGCAAATTTTCATTACAGATCCCATCCTGGCCCAGTCCTTTATGATAGTGTAAGCTTCTATTTTTATGTCCGAGGCATTTTTGAGCTCGCCCCACAAAACTGTCACTTTGACCCCTCTTCAAGGCCAAGATTTAAACAGATATCATCACTGAAAGTCTTAATTGTCTTGAGTAAACCCTCCTGTTGTTTCTCATTTTTGGCATAGGCCTTTAGATCATCAATATAGAACAAATGACTAACAATCTTCCCCTTCACTTCATAGCCTTACTCACTGCGTTTGAGCATATTGCCGAGATTTGCTAAAGGCAGGCATAAAAATATTCTCGCTGTTGATATTTATGCATCCTGGCTTGATTGTACAGTAGCTTTGATTTCTCCCAGATGTTGCCAAGAATTCGCCTATTTCTTTTACTTGAGGTGACTCTTCAATCTTTACCGACACTTGGTGTCTTCTCTAAAAAGCTTATTTTGTTGACAGAATTTCCCACCTTTTTTCATATCTCCAAATCCCGTGTGCCTTGACTGGTATCTGCTGCTTTACATTTTCACCAACTTCAGGTAATTCGCGAGCATACTTTGCGTTGTATTTCTGCTTCATTCGCTTTTCTTGGCTTTGATTGGTTCCTTTTCTATTTCAGTAAGCACCGATAAATCACCCCTTTTACTTTGCATGTCTTTCTTGATCTTCTCTTTCCACTTAAGTGCTTGTTCTTCTTAATTTTCTTCAAATTGATACCGATCTTTAATAGGTGCAGCACTTGCAAAAGGCTATTTTATTGATCGCTGTAATGTTCAATGGCTCATAATTTTCATTCAATATGTTTGTTATCACTTGGTTGCCTATTCTTATAAGTTCTTTCTGCTTTTATATTTTGGAAAAGTTTGGAAAGTCTGCCAAAGCTGCATATTGTATCTCTTTCCATTTCCTTTGTATGTCCTCGCATAAGTAAGTTTCTTGGATGCTTCTTCCACTTACATTTTTCGACCTCTTTCTCCAGCATATTCGGGTACTTCTTTATAATTATTATTCTTTCTTTCCACTCTTTTCTTATGGCTTTTACAAATGGACCACAGTTCAAAGGAACATGCCCAAGAACATTTCAATTTTACTATCCAATATCTTAGCAACTTCCATGCCACGCGAAAATATCTATATGGAACACCGCTCAGTCGGGTGATTGCTTTTTTGCCATATGCCAGAAATGTTATTTCACATTGTGGCATACTGCAAAACATACCTCGAAGAAGGCCGTTTTACATGGCGACACAACTCTACATAAAACTTCCTAGCTCAAACTTTTAAAGCTAAACTCCATTGCTCTCTTTACGTAGAAATTGCAGATTATCTCGCAACCTCTATCATTAACTGAGACTCTTTCTGTCCTGATCTACGACTAGTTTCTTCTGACAAACGTCTTTTCAGACTTGAGCTTACTGTAGTATACGAAACCAATTTGGATGATAATGCCAACCGCAAGAGAGAGAGAGAGAGAGAGAGAGAGAGAGAGAGAGAAATACTCGCATCTCGTTCACAGCCTAAGCTCAGCCTGTTCTTCTATCATTTTTGTTAATCTTTCTATTTGTTCCCAGGTATCTTTGGTTTCTCCTTCTCCTCTTTAATCGACATGTGCAACGCTCTAGATCTCAGCGAGAATCGTTTCCGCTTTAAAATAATCAAGCCATCTAGCTTATCTACCTAATACATTTTCTGCCGCTGTAGAAACCAATTATGGAATAATTCTGAATGTCTTTAATTCTAATATTTTCTTTAACTGAAAACTTCATAAACAGAAAAAGGACAAATAAAATTATTCCTTTTTCTTAATAGTCTTTTTCTTTGTAAACCTATCCTAGCTAAATGCAAATTACCTTTGTCATAGCGAGATTTGAAATTGTAGTTTCATTTAAATTGAAAATGAAAAGATCTTTTACGAAATGAAATCAAAAGTACCAGTTTATCAAGAGATCCTATTGGTAAGGGATTTCAATTGCAAGTTCCAAGAGAGCCCTGGTTAGCAACTAAATTTTACTGACTAGCAGGGACGCCCGCGAAGTTTGAACACTACCGAAATTGGTCTATCCATAAATTGATCAAATGCTTCTTGAACTAGAAAAGGAAAGGCACCAAACAAGAACACATAGACTTATCATTAGTCCTAATAAGTGGCATCGACGTAGCGGAGGCTAATCGTTTAGAGGGGCTTGGTGGGGTCATGCCCGAATATTGCTGCTTCACTGAGATAAAACTGGCCTAAAAAGGTAATGGGTAATTAAATTCGAACAATTTTGCCTGATTGAGCAAGGGGGTGGGGGTGTGGGCTGCATTCCCCAGTCCCTATGTCTCCTACACCTGTTACGAGAGAGCCAGCGGAGCGTCCTTGACAATATCGAATCTCGGAATAAAAGACAAGAGGTGGTCTGATACAATTTCAAATTTGTTGAGAAATGAAACACACAATAAAATTGCTATCTAAATAGGGGTATAAAATTTACAAATGAATCTTTTATACAAAGTCAAAAACATAACACGGCGTCAAGCTTGTTCAAAACAAACCTCTTGTAAAATACAGAATAGTTTAAAAGTGCCAAACATATTTAAGATGTCTACGTTCAATTTCATACTTATGCGCGCCTGTGTTTCGAGAAAACCTCATTATCACTATTGTGATTATCATCACTCTTATAGGCAAATTTTTTTCTATTTGGAAAGGGCTTGTTTAATAGTTGGAAAAAAGAATAGTAAAACTTGAGAGTGAACAACAACGAAGATTTCCCAATCAGCTGCTGCCATGGTGTGTACAAAAACGCAAACTAACAAGCTTAACGCTTTTTAAAAGAACGTATTTATACATACTTGCTGTTAAAACCCACAGTTATTACCCAAAGCAAACCTACAAAGTTGATACGAAATCAGAAGCTAACAACCTTGAACTTAAATTAGTCTTTTTGCATGAGCCCAGGATATTATATAATTAAAAAATTATTAACTTTAAGAAATTAATAAATAAACTTGTTTTAAAGTCAGGAAAACGTGACATGTCAGTGAAAGGCATGAAATCTAAAAGAGATTATCTTATTTCTATCGTTCACTTAGAGGAGGTTCCTTAAAAGTAGATAAACAGGCATGCAGGGTATTTAAAAGAGAAATCCATAAAAGGTGCAACTGAGGAACTGGAGCAGAGCCTTTGTGACCGAATATCACTAGGGAAAGGGCAAGATGACTGTGCAATGTTTTGCTGTAGTTAGGGTCTTAGAAATGAATTCTCGTTGAAGCGGCAATATTCTAAAGGGACGGGGAAAATTGATCGCCCAAGCCATCTTCATCGTTACATCTCTGAAAGAGAAGGGGTAGCCATCATTAACTAGGTTCTTTGTGAGAAGTCACTCTATTGATAGCCGCTTACATCTGACAAGCAGTGAGAAACCTGGTCTCATTAGAGGATGAAACCTCAATGACCGTCAGCTAAAGACCTATGCATCAACAGTTGGCGAAGAATAAACCATCAATAGTAACAGATTAGATTTGTATGGTAATCATTTGTCATATAGAAAATACAGTAAGTCTTGTCTTGTGGAATTCACAAAAGCATTATTTTCTAGTAGAATGCTGCGTCATGCATGCCGGCAACTTTTTCAACAATGCCGACATGACTTGCAAATAGAGGGATGTTGCCACTGACTCTTTGCCATCTTACAGCTTCAGCGTCATCCCCTGCCTAAAACAAAAATGACGCCATCAAACAGTTAGTCTTCATGTTTTCAACAAACGAAGGAATTCTCTGCCTTGAAGAAAGGCCAATTTTGAGAATGTACAAAATGCATAAAGCAATCATCAGGGAACTCTCTTTATGTACAAAAGCATTTCACATAATTCGCCTAATCCCTGTTGCAACAGTAGAAGCCTTTATATCAAGCCATGCTGTTACATCAAATCTACAAAAAACAGTTACACCTCCGTTTCAGTAAAGCTGGCGTACGGTGTAAACTATATGGAGACCATGATATGGACTGAGCAACGAGCGTATTCATCGTTTGTTTCATCCAAGATGTGTTACAACTAGGGAACCATGGTAATACAATATAACTATTTCACCATATTTTCTGGCATTGGTGCTTTAAGCCAATGATCTGACCTGCGTTTGTTATACGACAAGTATATCATGCAGCAGGGCAATGGCATGCTCCGACAGGACATGAATGGGGAACCTTCACTAGTTTACAGGTCCAGCCTGACCCGACTGGTACCACCTGGCAGGGCTCCCTAGCTCAGGGCTACGAGCAATAGACAACGGCTAACTCGGCGGGAGACCGTCAAGGAGGGCGGATGAGCTACGACTCCAGGGGTCAACGGCTTCGGGCGGAAGAACTCCTGGAAAGAGGGATGGTGTACCTTTGAAAGCACTGTAGAGGTGGTTCTGGGGGCCCATCTATACTATTAGCCCCTTAGTTTTATCTATGACCATGACAACAAACCAAAACTCAGATTTTGGGATAGTTGGAGGGTCATAGTAGCCAGCCTTCTGATAAAAGATGGTACCTGATGATGATGATATCATGCAGACTCTGATATAGCCCCGTATGCCGGGGCGAAATATTGGCCATAACTGATTTATGTGTGTTTGTTGTTTTTCATTCTCGTCGCGTTGCGGTGTTCCTTATTTACTATTTTATCGATTTTTCACCGCAAGTACACCTTTGGAATCCGTCGAGCAGCCAACGATCTTGGCCCCTAATTTATTCACACAAGTATATTATGAACGTGTATTTGTATTATAAGTTATTGTAATTTAACTAAAAAAATGTTCCAAGTTACCCAAATATAATTTGATAATTTCAAGGTAAGAATGAACTCGTAAACAGTTTTGATAACAATGCATTATAATTATGATTAAAAATATGAAATTGTATTACAAGCAATACCTCTATATTTCTTTTCGAGCAATATAATTTATGTTGTATGAATTTACCTTCAGCTCAAGATCCCCAAAAATCTCTCCCGTGTCATCATGAAAATTGTAAGCAACTGTCTCCATCCACGCATTATCAGTATTTCGTGGATCATCGACATAACCCTTGTACACCTGAAACAGCATTACTTGAAATCAGAAAAATTCAATTGAAATCAACCATTACAAACTGAAGCACAATGATTTTCCATCCACATGTTACGAAGATATCTTAATGCTAAAGGTTTCTTTATCAAATTTATTTTGAATTTGGTAGGTTACAACTTGGTAGGTTACCTCTGTACCGCGTTTAAACAGATCGTCGATCTTTCGAATGATTGTCTGGCGTCTTTGTTCTGGCATATCTAATTTAGCGAATGCTTCTTCGCTAAATTCTCTTCGCAATGTTTCAGAAATTTTTTCATCAGCATCTACCATTCCCTTCAACAGCATAAATGAATCATCAATATCAATGTGAAAAAAAGAAAGAAAAATATTCCAAGAAAAGAACAACATCTTAACTTTCAAGATACCGTTAGATGGCCTAATTGAACGACCAAATAAATTTTGTAACAAAATAATTTTATTGCACAAGTACCGGAAACCTTTAAAAATGTCTGGTAGATAAACGAAAACTTACGTTTCAAGACTTGAATATAATTCATAATTTACATGTGTTTCTCACAGTATTCCTTGTCTTGCTTACAATTTGCTGATCACATTAGCACAGTTCTACGATTTCCATTGTCCATTGGATAATCTTGTCAGATGTGCTAATCTCAAATATGGGGAGGAAGGGCTGTGCTCTGAGCTTTATCAGGGTGCAACGCCTTAAAATTCTTTTAATGTGACCACTTCAATGTATTTTGCTATTTTGGTAGCCACCCTGAATTTATTCTAACTAAATTGTGCAAGCAAAATCTTTAGGTCCTATTGGCCATAACTGATTTATGTGTGTTAGTTGTTTTTCATTCTCGTCGCGTTGCGGTGTTCCTGTCTCATACAACCGTGGTCACAAATTAATTTGTAAAGTAAGAAATTCATTTGATAAAAAATATCACCTCGTTGGAAGAGGGCTAACACCCAAAAAAAATCTGTTAAAATCTTAGATTGGGGATTGGGCCAATGGAACCTCATAACAATATAACTTCTGCTATGTAACAGAACGTGGAGAAAGTATCTAGGAAGGGGCTTGGTGACGAACTATCATTTTATAAAAAGACGCGAGTGACAAGATGGAGTTAGTGGCTTATTGACACCTGCTTCCTTCAAAATGAAGCCAACATTCAACCTGGTTGCATTAAAGCCCATTAAGCAGATGAGTTGTGCATTGCCTAACTTAAAGATCCTGTAATCATTGGTGAATGTTGATAGAAAGTCAAATACAAACCCCTGGGATAGCCCATTGATGGTTATCCTTTCGCTGAATAGCAACAAACTCCAAAACTCGTTTCCCTTTATCCAAAACGATGCCAGAACTTGATCGCTTCCATCTACATAAAATGGAGAAAGTCTTTGATGGAAATATATTTTTTCGATACTAACAGCTCACGCACTACCCAATATCATACTGATAATCAATTCGCTAATTAAGCAGCGTTTCAATGGCAAGAAGAGTCACGATCGTAGCAAAACACAACACTTGCGCAACAAGTTTTTCTTTGTTATGATCAAGATACAGTTGCTTTTGATATGAACCATGATCATAGCCTTAGAATCTTATTACTGGGTTCATGATTGGCAAATGTCCTGTGAAAAAAGTTGCTGTTGCTGTTGCTGTGAAAAAACCTATTTTGCAAACCTTCACGACTCCATTTTGTGAAGGTTTGCAAAAAACATTACTAGCTCTAAACCATTCACCATCAAAACCAGTCTAACCCAGCTAAACTTTAAAAAATTTAAATAATGTTAGGGAGATCGTGAATTTATAATGATTAGCTACTGGTGGGATTGAAGATATAGAGCCCTTGTTTCTTATATGCCATGCTTGTTTCTTATATGGCGAAAAAAGACTTCTTTTTCATATAAAATATTGTAATCTTGCAGTATTAAACATTACAAATGAAAAACTAATGCAGATCATCTTCTACGGCCATGAACAGTCACGAGAAGGAAAAGAATTGAGACAGATATATATTCTGGTTTCAGAATGATTCCAATAGATAAATGTAAGTCACCATTTTCGTTAAACGTTTTACTTGCAATATTTGTCACCATTCTCTTTAAACCTCCCTGCAGCATCCTTTCTGTTAATTATGCTTCTTCGTTCTTGTTGTTGGAAACATAAAAACTACTTTTTGGGTGTAAGGCATCATTAGAAATTTTTACCTAGTCACAACAGGGTCCACAGCATGATTTGGGCCCCATTTCCCAAGTAGCCCTCTGCCGACAATGCCAGTCCGCCCCATAGGATTCCTTCAAAAAGAATAGCAAACATATTACCTAAAGAAATGGAAAAATGGAATGTAATGGAAAAAGTTTATTTCTTAGCAGGTCAGAACTGAACGTCGGGAAAATAACAAGCTACATTGTACCTTGGAAGATTATCTACGACTTCGTATGTCCCCAGGAAACTCTCTCGGTTGGTCTTCTCCTTGTGGTCATAAGAGTTAAACGGCAACACTGGCTTTGGCTCCCTGTGCATTGCAAAACATAAATTATCATCCACTGCGGAGCAAGTTCTTTTAGAAATAAGATTTAGAAGGCTTATAGCAACATTTCAACTGAATTAAAAAAACAAATCCTGTTAATGCTACGAAATGAAAAATTATTACATGGACAAAATATCTGGATCCGCCCACACTGGTTGTGCCAAGACGACTGGGGCTGTGTATACTGCTGGCATGTATTCTGGAAAGGAAACCTAAAAAACAGAAGTAAACAAAAATCTTAAAAGCAGACGACAAAATAAAAAGCCATATTTCTGAATGTCCCAAATGAATGGCATCTGAATTATGCCAAGAAGCAGAAATTAACATAACTCGGTCATGTCATGGGACATGAGATGATACGGAGAAGAGTTCTGGAAGCCTATACAATCGGAAATAGGATAAGAGGAAGGCCCAAACACAAATTGCAGCATACAGTCAGGGAGATGTTTGGCTCCATGAAGGAGGCAACTAAACTTGCTGAGAGAAGAAATGAGTTTTGCGCTGCTGTTCAAGAAGCCATGTTTTGATATTTTTGAAAATAAAGCCTGGTTTACACGTATGAAGCAAGAGCGGAAGCAAGTGAAGTAGGAATGCACAGTTAAAACTGTTTGGATGTAGCAAAGAATGAAGCAAAATGTGAAGTAAGCCGTTCACACGTATAGGCTTCCTTGATCGGCTTCAGACGAATCATACATAAACAATTATGTGGTCTGTGATATAAAAAAATTGGACGCAGAAGTTTTACTTTCATTAAGATACTCGATACTAGAACGTAGAATACGTAGACGGAAGCAGCTACAAACGAAAACAGCCCCGGCGGGCTCAGTCAATTGGTCCAATGTATACCATGTGTGTTGATATAGAGAAACTGGACCCTAATCTCTGATTTTGGGTTGCGTAAAATGTACTCTTTTCTCAGATTTTGTAACCATATTCACTGAGAATATTCAAGTTTGAGCAAGCATTTTTGAAACCAATTCATGAAAGAACCATTCTATTTCCTAAACTTATGTCGAAAGGCATAATAAAGAGTAGAATTTACTAAATTTCATTTTAACAACGATCCCTTATGCTTTTTTAAATAAACAAACAAAATAAGGCAGCTGTAAAACTATAAATGCAACATATATTGCTTACTTCACAACACTGTGTTCGATGTTTTTATAAGAATATGGAAGTTATGTCAAATGACGAATTATACCTTGCAATGAGTACAAACTTTCTTTTCTTAATTTCTCATCTAGGTTAGAACAATAAACATGACTAGATGCTACTTCAAAATTCGAGGTACTTCAATTGCCATTGATAAGCTGTAACATCATATCAGTAAATTCCTACCCTCTTTGGGTTACTCTGACTGATTAAAAAAAGTAACTCTAGTGTCAAGATTCTTATTCCTAGAAATCTAGCTTTCAGACCAACCTTTCTCAGAGCTTTTTGGAACTCATATAATTTACGTTTGACCAACTGAGCCCGCAGAAAGAAGCAGCTTACAGTTTCAAAAGTAGTTTTTCTGTTCCCTGCAGAAAAACCTGTCGGATTTATGTCAAGAACAAGGTATTTTCTTGCAGCTTCATGCTTCATGTTTGCTTCACTTGCTTCATGTGTGTTCACACACCACTTGCTTCTGTTTCCACACCTGTTTCTGCTTCAGCTTTTGCTTCACACGAGTGAACCACGCTTAACATTTTTACAAAGGACGCAATTTGCAAAATGGAAAGAAATTGTCGCGACAATGAAGTGGTATCTGGTTAAGAAATTAGATTGAGTTGATTCATCGAGTATTGGCAATGAACTTCCCTTTTAACAAAGAAGGAAAAGCCAAGGACAGTATTTGGCGGTAAAATTAGAACTAGACGACTTGGGAAAGTTGTTGCTGAAGACGTTTTACTGCAATGTTTTGCTGCAACCTTATCGAGAAAAAAAGCTACTGCTTATCTACTGTTTTGATTCTGTACTCTAACCGTAGTATCTATCTTTAACTCAAGGTTAAAGCAACTTTTAAATCCGTTTAGCTTGTCTGTGAACATCCTATAATGCAAATTTCTTCTTTCAAAACCGCACGAATTAATTTCATATGAAATCGTCAGAAAAGCAAATAATGGATTTAGGTCTACTACGAATGGTTGGTCATGCTCTTGCCCGCAAATTCATTACCCGAATGGCAGAGTTGCGTTAAAGGCAGTCTGTCCTCTCCGTGATTGACTAATTCTAACTTGAAAGCCTCGCCTTAAAAGAAGGTCTTCCTCTGCCTTTTTGATATCCAACATTAGATATTGTAGGTGAACACGACCAAAAATGTCTTATCTTTATATCATCGAATCTGACTTTGACGTTTGACACCAAAACAAAATTCACAGGAGGTCGCTCAGGGAAAGTACAATTAATATACCAGATGGATTCCAGAGCTTTTGAATCAAACGGCTGTGTTCCCGTTGAAGTGAAGCTGTGACTGGAAAAATTTTGTTCCCTGTTTGGTTTTTTCGACAGATATGTCAACAGCGAAAGAAAATGCTTCCATTATCACCAGTCAATTCCAGTATATAAAACTTAGTGTCATTCCCGATAGCTTTTTGCTCGCAGTTCCAAATGACGTCCACTACCGCAGCTAGGCCCTCCAAATCCGTTAAGGCGGGAAAACCTATTGTTCATATTAGCCAATCATTGAGGGGACATACTGCCTCAAACAAACAGAAAGGTTTTCGTGTTTCAAATAAAATACGCATGCAATACAAAACTCCTTTTCAACAAATGACGTAGAGACCTTTATAAAAAAACATTTATCAAATTGAAATTTATGCTACCCCATAGATAGTGATCAACAATTCCTACTTCTAGAATGCAATAGTTTCAGGTCATTCAGAAAGGGCTTCATAGCCAAGTTTCAGCTTTTGGTGGATTTTATTGTTCATTTGCAAAATGAGAAATAAAAAATTTGCTTGCTGATACTAAGACGCAGTAATAAGAAAGCTCCAATACCTCCCAAGGAACGAAAGCATCAGGTACTCTTGCTCTCTGAATAATTGAATTGGGATATGGTGTTGTCCTCGCCTTTATATGAATGGAAGTTATTTTCGTAGTTATCTGGTTGCGATCAGGAGCTTCTTCCATAGAAAGCGATCTTCCTGCTTGAAGCAGCGCAGCTATAAACAAGATTTGAAAAAAGAGCGTTCCAGTATTTTGCATCATTACATTTAGAGGTTTACCTAAATGACTAATCATTGCTACAAATCCAAGCAAGTCCAATGGGAACTCACCCTGCTTCTGTGTTTGTTGTATAAGCAATTCAAGAACTTGGTCAAGTTTATGTTCTAAACTGGAGATCCGACTCTCGAGTAGAGGGGCTTGCCTGGTCTGGATGGCTCTTCTGCTGATGATTGCAGTTTCTTGTCGCATCATGGCATCTCCACTCAGAGGAAAGTCCATTGTTTTCGCCATGTCCGTAGAAAGGTTGTCTATCCTGGAAAATAGAATATTTCAGAGGATGTGCTAGTTTTTGATGATATTTGAAATCTGATGCTGGAGAGCCGTAAATGAAATTTTATGCTCCTCGAGCGAAATGAAACAGGAACAAAAGATTCTAAAGCTTGCCACTTCAAATAAAAACCGACGGAAAACTCTGATCCACAAATTATATTTTCTGTCGCTCGTTTATAATTGAAAACCATTTTCCAAATATGGCCAAAAGAAATTTCTTAAGTAAAAACGTACCAGCCTTGGAATTATAAGCATCTGGTGTGTGCCTGCAATACCAAGATCTCGTGGCTGAAGGGAAATGCCATCTTTTGAATCTTAACAAAAACAGCGAAAAGAATCGCTTTGGCTTTTTAAAAAATGAATTCTGTAAACGTCAGCTTACCTTGATTGAATGTCTTTCACTCTCTCGTCAAGCGTTTCTGATTCTAGCAGCTTGGAGATGTAACTGTAAGACTCTGCAGCCGTGTATTCCCACATACGCAGTTGCTCATTTTCATCCGAAGATAATTTGAATTCTATTTAGGTAAAGTTCACAAAATGAGCCACAACTGACATCATCATGAGTAAACGATATTCAGCACAAAGGTATACTACAAATTTAAATACGTTCTATCATCTGGCCGGTTTTCATGTTCTGAAAGCATCACTTCTGGCAATGGATAGGAATACCAACTCTTGCGTAGAATCGTTCTACTATAAAACTCACCATTCAAAAGGCCAATTGCACATCGTAGGAAATAATAACGCAAGCAGCTTTTCAAGACTTAGAGTTCAAAAAAGCATACAATACAAACTAGAATATCCACAGTACGGGCGAATAAACACTTACTCATGGTGCTTCCTTTCAAGGGTCTGCATCCACAGCAACGAAGGCGCTGCACAATCCATCTCATTCCCAAATATACATGGGAAACTATAATTAGAGGTGGAGTTAGGGCAGGGCGATCGTGGTACTCAAGAATCAATTCGTACCGTTGGAATTTCCATACTTTGTCGGAAGCATCTTGAACTTTCTCGAAGGTGTAGCTAGAAATGAATGCATGACGAGTGAATGAGTGAATGACGTTTACAACAAGTGAATGTATGTCAAACAAGACTAGAATTTATTTGATGACAAGCCAACAAAGAAAGTCATCTTGAAGATGTTTTAAGAAAGTAAAACAGATAAAGGTACATAGTCTGGTTGGTTTTAGCTGCGACGAAACTTTCACAAGATAACAACTTACTTGAAAATGGCAATGAGTAGGTTCAGTAACAGAATGTTGGTGAACAACATATACAATGCCATATAAATAGGTGCGACATATTTTCCGTAGTCGGTGCTACAATCCTCGTCAGGGTCTGTTAAACAGACAGGTAATCCAGTTGTACAGTTCTTCTGATCCTCTAATTACGAAAATGGCATAAGATTAAAAAAGTCAGACAAAGAAAAATTTTAAATCAATGACTGAAAAAACTCTCGAAGCATGATGAAATAATGGCTAAAATGGTAAGCAGGGACATTTCTTGTACAGACCACAAAGTAGCGCAGGCTGATTAGATAAAAATATTTAAAAAAGGAATGACAAAAAATTTACCGAGAATATCCTCTATGAAAAGCTCTCCATACATTTGCCAATATGGTTTGTTTAGAACACCGATAAGGGCCTTGCCAATCGGAGTTCTTGGAAATCTGACTGACTGGAAGGCGACTCCGTAACCAATTATGAAAATTGCAAGGATGAAGATGAAATACTTTAAGTCGTGCAACTAGAAGAAATGGTTAATTTTGCGAAGTGTGCCAATATTTATATAAATAAATGATGTAGAAACTCATGATGATAACTTTGATAATGACACAGGGAATGTTATGAACGGGTAGGAAGAAGTCATGACAAACAAGAACGAGAAAATGCTGAACCAAGGTAAACATGCAAAGCAAACAAGGATAAACAATGAAGACAATTTAAAACCTATTAAATTTTGTAAACATGATAAAATATTTTTAAAACAACAAACAGCAACAAACCATTTTCTGAATCATAACAAGCTTCGGCCCCAAATTCTTATTTACTGAAAATATTTGCAACAATCGAATTATGAATATAATGACATCAGTAGCCAAGATTATTCTCGCCACATCTAGATATTCTTTATTCCCAGATTTCCAAGCCGCGTAACGCAGTACAGTGGCAATCAAAAATGATATGAGCGAGAAGACGTCTGCAATGTTCCATGTACTCGAGAAATACCATTCGAGCTTCCTGAGGAAACTTTTTGGCTCTTGAGTGATGACCTATTGAAATACAAAATAATTTTATTCAACTGAATTGGCTTGAATAGAACCACTTCTTAATAAATTTGAATTGATTTCTAAATGACGAATGAATTTAATTCAAAGCAAATCAATTGGATACACTAAAATCAACTGGATACATCCACCGTGTACATTTTTGTTCAAAATATATCTATGTTGTTTATTGTAAATCTCTGGATTGCGAGGAAGACGGATACCTGGCGAATTTCTTCAATGATCAACGTCAAAACCCAAACTTGCAGCACATATTCACTCCAATGCGGTTTCATGCTGAACTTTGACAATAGATTGTAGCTATAGAGTCCAAGGAAAATCAAATATGACAGCTGTGGAAAAAAAAGAGACAGTTGGACTGCAGACATTTGCAAGTGGGAAAATAGATAGCTCATACTTTTTGATAAGCATAACTTAATTTTTGCTGAGCCTCAAAATTCTTGAAATTGGTGATTCTAGGCATAAAATAATTGTTAAATCATCCTTAAGAAAAAAGTTCGAATATTTGCTATTTTCTTTTTCACCATGAAAACATTTTTGAAAACCAAAATATGATAGCAAAAAGCAGGTTTAAAGAGTGTTGTTTTTTATGGGTGAAATATACAACTGGGTATATATTTTTTCTAGCGTAGAGTTTTCGATCTATGTTCCCATGCTTCAAATTGAAAAACTTTAGCTTGTTCCAACATGTGACATTTCTTGTTCACAGCGTAACTTACGGTTGTCTTACTAAATATTTACAGTATACATAAACAGGTTGTGCTTGTAAAGCGAGATCTGGGAGAGGGCCATACATCCTTACATCTTTGAAAACTGACAGTCGCTCAGCAGAGGGTTATAAAAGATGCACAAATATGACCTAAGCTAGAAGCACTCAAGGATACATACCACATTTGCAAAGAATTTAACAAATGGAGCTTGATAAAATCGAAGCATCTTCTCAAATTTAGAAAGCTTGGCATATCTCAACGTGGCATCAATTGCATCATTTGGATCTTCTATATGGACAAGCTCTAGAAGCAAATAATAACTATTTTTGAAATACGACTGTCAGAAATTCGAGTCCATGACTTTGATGAAATAATATCACTCAAGAAAGGGCAAACCATTAAATGTCCTAAGCTGATTGGCTATAAGCAAGAACATTAGTAGAGAATGCCAAGTGTTCTTGCCGGCATCCAGATTGCAATCCTTGTTTAAAAATTTTCTTAAAATCTTGTGCTGAAACTATACACCCAAAAGGTCATTTTACAATCAAAAGGTCAACACTGCCATTAGTTGAAAAAAATTGTGTTGACATTTTACACCGTGATTTGCCACCATGTTCGCCGATGAAAAAGTTTCAACTTTTATCAATTGTTTGTACAAGGAAAGGCGGGTATCTTTGTGTAGATCCTAGTAGCTTTTAAGGGTGAATTCGTGATGATAAATTTCAGGTGAATATGCTAGACATAAATAAGTCAGAAGTGGCTACTTCCTAAAATAAGAAAAAGGGACAATAAAACAGCTGACTTACGGTATATGGGATCTTTCTCCTCTGACTCGTAATTATGCAATTCAACACTTTCTCTGCCTTCAAAGTCCTTGAATGTGGCTGTGGATCCAATGTTCATTTCTTCATCATTTTCTCTACTAGACACAACACGTTCTTCGATGTCTTGACTTTTGTCGTAATTTTGGATGACTGTCGAAGGCCTTTGTTGCATTGCATCGTGCTTCAGATCTTCATCTCCAGAAAAACTTATCATAAACGGGACGACCGGCGGGGCAAAAAAGCAAACAGCCACCTGTTAGCGAAGCAAAAGAGTCGTTAATGCAAAAACTGACTAGAAAAATTACAGATTAAGTAATCGACGCTTGTACTACACTGTCCATCCTGAATTTAGCGCAGAAAAGCAAAGGATATACAGGAGTTAAGTACAAAAGCAAAATTCCTTAAGGCCAGTTATCAAAGACCCCGCATCCACGACAAATAATCTAAGGCCCAGCATCGAAAACCAATCTTGCAGGACACATCTTCACAGATCTATGCCTCAAGAACAATATCTCAGGCCCTGCATCTACGACCAATCTTTCAGAACCAATCGTGAAATATCATTACCTAAAGATCAATAATCTAAGACCCAGCATCGAAAAGCAATATTGCAGGACACATCACCAAAGATCTTTGCATCAAACCCAATAGTCTCACACCCTGGTGCCATCATCAAAGAATATTAAGTCATGGCATCACCATTTTTAGGAAGCCCTGTATGCTCCTTTTCACATTGGATTCATCTATTTAAATAAAATCATTGTTTCTCATCGTTTTGCGGTGCTCCTACCCATCATTAATGATCTATAGGCCATCTTTTTAGATCGAGTTCTGCAAAAATACCCCTTTCGGACCCGTTTCCCAAAACTTTACATCCAAGACCTAAAATAACTTGATGACAAGATCAAAGCAAACATAGAGTAGCAACAAGTACGATGCAATAAGAAGCTACGTTACAGTTAACTCCATCTTCTTAAGCTGATGCAAATATTATTCACAAGTACAGATAAATTGATTGCTAGTTTATCATTTTCTGGCAAAACTCCCACCGCACTCCTAAAAACAGGTAGTATAAAATGCTACCAAATCCGTTAAAATTCAAAGAAACAAAGTAGATGATTCCCACTGTCTGATGTAACATTTGTTCTCATGCATACGGATTTTCTATCCGTATCACCCCTACACTTTGCATACTTTGTTAGAGGGCATTGAGATGTAAAAAATTTGCATTTATATTGATATCTAGACAATGTTAGTTGTTTGCAAACATGCAACTTGCCTGCCAGGTGTGTGTACTGAGCTCCATTGTTCCCATCCAAAGTTTACTGAACAGCGCTTGGCAAGTGGGGTGGGCGATGAAGTCTTGATCTTCTGCCGAGACAGCAATATCCACACTTGTCAAATGACCAAAATTTGGTAGCTCTTTTACGACCAGCCGCTGTGCTAATTCATCATCTTGCTTCCGACATTCATCAAGAACCCCAATTGCAGTTTTCTCCCATTCGCTAGAGAAAATATATATATATTATTTTATTTACAGTCACAAAATAACTTTAAAAAAATCCAGTTCTTAAACGGTGATCACGAAATTAACGATCACGTTTTTCTATTGCAATCTTTAAGATTACCGAAAATATTTTACTTTGAAAATCTAAGTTCTTGGTCTCAATGAGCAATTCAGCTAATATTCTTGATCTATTTACTATCCAGAGGGTTCAATACCCGTGATGATTGCCCAGTGTTTTGAAAAGAAAAAAAAACAGAAAAACTTAAACGAAGAAAAGCAGAACTAGCCGATAGAGACTTGATTTCATCTAAAAGCCACTGAGAGGGGGGGGGGGGGTTCGGCGGGCTGGACTATCGTCAAAGAAACAAGATGCCCTACTTCTGCTGAAGACAGTGATGCAATAGTTAGTTATTTATTGGCACTCAATCTGCTAAATGGAACGACGATCGGGCTTGACCAATAATCCGGAACATGTCGCCATTAAAATTAAGCACAATCTGGGTTTACCAGTAAATGCTGCCCGATAGCAGAACCGCAGGTTTTAGTTGTAATTTTGGATTTGCAAGACCGAGGTGGCTGTTCTCTTTGGGGATGAGTTTTGTTTCTAATACTAGACGGAACATGTTGTTTTATTCTATCCTCCAATCTTTGGGTAGTGCGTCCTATGTAGCCAAAATCACACTGGCACGTAAATTCATAAACAACGGAAGTTTTATGTGTGGTAGGAACGCAGTCCTTTTGAATGGATGGAAGGGCCTTTTTGTACTGTAAACAATACGTGGGTTGACTGCAAAGAAACAATTTGTAATGGCCTGTTTTATTTGACTTTCAAAACGCAGGAAACTGTTACCGATCCAGGGTAATTTCAGACGAAAAGCTTTAGTTTACCAAATGTTTGCCTTTTTCAAAGCCATTTTCAAGTTTTGTACCACCAAAAGATTGTTTGCTTTTCTAAATGTTACTCAAAGTGCTCAACTACATGTGGATAAAAGATAAATTACCTCAATAAACGGAATTAAGAAGGCTAAGAGCCACTTCTAATTTTTTATAGGCAGTGGTGACCGATTTGATTGCATGGAGCTTGTTTCACGGAAAGGACAGTCCTTTAATTGATATCAATCTCAATATAAACTCTTCCAAAGTCATTTTTAGGGTAAATTTCCTTAAAATACAAGCTTTAAAAGTGCGTACGGTGAAACAAATCTTATTCTTTGATTGTTAAGTGGCATACTACACGCATACCACGGTTAAATACCAACCAGTCTATCATCAGACGAATCTCAATTCCTCAATATTGATGATTCTTCACTTCTGGATAATGTAGCATTGAGTAACAAAGGATGTATCTAGATACATGGCAGAAAGCGATTTTTAATACTTGATTTGCGTAGGTAATGTAGAGACAAAGGTAAATAGCGTTAAGATGTGTACGTTGTTTGAAGACTGGGTGACTTTTGCAAAAGCCGCATCCGGAAAACCCGACAATTTTGCTGCAAAGAAATTTATCCTTACAAATGGTGAAAATAACAAATAAGGATTGTATTTACCGACCTTGCATGCTCCATAAAGGATGCACCAATGTCCACCATATCTCTTTCTGAAAGCACCTTTTCCACTAAACCTTTCAGTAACTTGGTAGCCATTAGTGCCATAGCTATGTTTTCCCTGCCTTTGCTCCAGATAAGCCGCGCCATTTCGCGACGATTCGCAAGCGTCGCCCAAACAAATAAATCCAACCAAGCATCTTGAGCCATTTTAACTCCCTCATCTGCAAATTTAAATTGAAAAGCCTTATCATTTCCAGAAAAATTGTCAGCGTTTCAAAAACTAGAGGCTTTGTCACTGCATCTTTGCATTTTAGAATAAACTGCTAAAAGCGTGAATTGCCGCAACATATCGAAAATTATGAAAACTAGTACATCGGCCGTACCCATTTGCCATTTGCATAAATTAGTCATTTAAGCTATTTAGAACTTCAAGGCACACATTCTATTATAACGTTCATCACTTAACTTCGAACATTATTTAACAGCATTTATTCAAATATTACCTCTGACAGGCCTGGTGCCACTTCCAATTTCTATCACTCTCCCGCAATAATCATCACTCTTATACTGAGATTTGAATTTATCACCCATCAGTTCTTCCACCAACTGCCCAACATTGAACATGCTCACGTCTTTACTTTTGTCACTAACCACCTGATACAATTAAAGCGATTAGCCTATAAATCAACCATGGGACATTTAATGTAGGCAAGACGTGCACGTTTTGCAACAGTAATTTTCTTCCTTTTAAAATACAATCTTCTTTAAAATTTCAAACCATCGCTTAGACAGTAGAAATGATGAAGATACCTTATGTTTTACAGCCTCGCAAATATCAACTAAGATATTTCACCGTACGGATATATCAAAACAGAATCACTGAGAAAGTTCATTTTCGTATTAGGGGTATTCTTTCCCTTGACAATGAATTTTCAAGTTTACAATTGTAACAGCCATTAATGCAAGATAAGACTTTTGGTTTAAAAAATCACAAGTTTACCAAGAAGGGGGTTTTCTTCAAACGAAAACAACTTAGAAAAGACAGTGAAGAAACACAAAATTTTCTACAAAATTTCGCTATGTATTTAAAGGGCCTGGTTTGTAATGTCTGGGGATCTTTAAAAAGATTGCTTGATAACTTTGATAATTGCTTGCTTTATCTCCTTTACCATAAAATGAGAGTTTTCTGCAACATCGATAAAGTAAGGTATGAATCTACAGTCCAAGGTTGTGTAAACTTACGTATAGAAGCTGCATCACTGGAGCATTACGTGGAAGCTGAAACAAAACATTAATAATATTTTATAGACTGAAATTAGGAGCAATCTTATCATACCATATCACCTCGATGTGACATGATATGATGTGACACGATACTCTATCGGCTAATGTAAATAATAAAAACAGAAAAATATTTACAAATCTACCAGACCACTCTCCCTGCGGGTCGTGCTTCAATCGCCATTAAGGTAGATGAATACTTCCACCCCTCAACCCAGCAGCAACCGGAAAGATGGCACCTAACAAGCCCTAACCAGGTCCAGAAACAGACCTCATCAAGATACATAAAGTAATGTTTATTTTTAAAATATTAAAAATATGATTTTAAAATACAGAGGAGCATTTCCGTTGATTGTATTCACTTACCGCTGCATAAAGGGAACAGAGAAGGTCGACAGTGAGAAAGTCCTTCATTTTGACTCCTTCGTTTATGAAAAGGGAAACAAAGTCAACTTTGTCATCAATCAGGGCAGTAAACATTGATTCGTGCAAATGCTCCATCTAAAAAAGAAATTCTTGATTTTCAATATGCCAAAAGCTGAAACGCATGAAAAGCATCAGAGGTCGAAATTTCTGCAACTGCTAGAAGCGCTAGCTAGTCATAATAATCAAATTTGCCATAAAAAAGATTCGTTTAATTCAAATGTCCTTGTTTCATCACCACATTAGAGTTTACTCATATAATTATTGATAGAAATAGTCTAAAATGATGACAGGAGGATTTACACCTCTGAAAATGTCAATTGAACAAAGGCGACGTTATCCTGAACCCAACCCATGCGGTGACTTAATAAAATGAAAATAAATGACGAATCAAAGTAATGAAATGAAGAAGGAGTAAGGGCAGCCGAGCTTTTAAAGGCAGCTTGTCCTTGAGCATTGCGAGACGTATTAAGCTAGAAAAGTTAACGAAATGTGTTCAATTTTGGCCTTCCTATTGAAGGCAGCTGCCCATATTTTGGAAAAAAGTATTGCAATTTTGTTTTAGGACACAAGAAAGATTATCTGACGTTTTACAAGTAAACTGAAGGCAAATAGTTAGAGCCAACAAGTAACCATGACCCTAATCTCAGGCTAGATAGGTGTATAACACAGACCCTACCTCGATTAGCTGCCTATGGCCTTCGATAAATATCTCACTTTTGGCAACATCAATACGATTCCAGGCGAGAGCTAGTCGCAGTTGAGACTGAATGTGTTGGTTGGCTGCAAGAAAATTTCTTTGTCATCAAAACTTCGTAACAAAATGCATATGAGTCAAGTAGACCAAATACTTATTCCAAATCAAGGTAAAACGTCAGAAAAAGAGGATCAGGCAAACGAGAGGTTCGTTTCATTTGGTTTCAAAACAGTACAAAACATAGGATTCGGCAACTTTCAGAAAAACTCATAAAAAATCTCGCTACACTTCAATTTGTTCAAAAAAAGTAAACGCATACCTTTGAGAAGAGCTTTGAGAATGGCCAAATCGATATCCTGGGAGCTGTTATCATCTTTCAAACGATATACAGAGACCTTCAAGAAGAATTATATTTTCGTTGCTTTACGCTTTTCTTAGGACCAATGTAAATCAAACAAGACAATTCTCTTTCAATTTGAAATTTTCATTAAATTTGAAACTTTCATTTCTTCAAATTTAAAAAGGATCGAAAAGAGAAATATCACATGACTATGAATCCATGCATTATAAAATTAAGAGATTTGGTTTCCATGTTAAAACTTAGACTTTGAAACAACTAACGTATCGTCCGCTTTCGTCTTAGGTGGATGTAAGTTACAAAAATACATATTACCATTTTCCGGTCACGTAACAGCTCTTCAATTTGTTGATAAACCCTGTCTCTACTTTTTTCTCCAAAAACTTTTTCAACCTGCTTTTTCACATCATCGACAAAATCCTCATCAATCTCTTGAATTTGTTTGTTGGCATTGCTAAAATATACAAAATAATGATAATAATAATTCATATCTTCGTTTTCAATTAAATACGTTCGCTTAACTAAAGTTACAAATAATTATAACAAATAAAACAAGAAAACTTATGCAGGATAAACACTATAACAGTTACAACATTGCAGTAACGACACTGTGTGTCCCATGCCTCATCGTCTCAAAACGAAACGTATAACATGTTAAAGAAATCTCAGAAATGTATAAAAGCTTTTAAAAGATTGCTCGCGTTTCTCATTTTGACGTATGCCTAAAGAAAGCTCAATCTACATTTAATCAGCCACATATGTACTAAAGTGCATATTCTCTTTTGATTACTGATCAAAAAATTTTGGGGTTTAATACTCGAGCATTTTTAAAAATTGGAGCTTTTTCAGTACGAATTTACAATTTGAAGCTAATCAACATTTTCTCGTCTAGTGCTTCAAGAGTATTTACGGATAAGTGCTTTAGTTCTATTTCATTTGCGTAGGAATTCTCTAGTTACAAAAAAAGCCAGTAGGTTTGGAATTTTTTTTGGTTTTCCTTTGCAGCATTTTACTGTAGATACAGATGTGGCAATCCATAACCTCCGTTGATTCTTTGAAAAGAAAAAACTGCATGCAATATGGAATTACAATTCGTATGGATGGTTAGAATAATACTAACAATTTCACATGCTTGAATGCAAAAGCGACCACATCGGCAGCTCTTCCAGACCCGTCTATCACAACAGCCGGCACACCTTTTTTTATTGCTTCAGCCATCGTTGCGATCGTATTCGGACCGCCCTCTAAGCACAGAATCACAACCGGGATTCCGATGGAACCTAAATCAGAGAAAAATCGAAACTTAAAACTAGCCAAAGAGGATATCTTAATGCTGGTTTAAATAGAAAGCGTTTCAGCGCTAGATAAAAATTACCAGATTAAAATTAAAATAAGGTATGCAAGTTATCTAAATAATGGACAGTTAGATGTAGAAAAAAAAATAGAACACACCAGCACTTGAGGAAGATTCAGTCTTTAAATTGTGCAGAATGGCCCCTTCTAGTGTTGAGCGCAGGCCAATTTCAACGCCATATTGTCCAGTGGTGCCATTATCAACAAGAATGAAATGTGAATGGTTCATGTCCAATGGGGCTTTACTTGGATCGGACGTCGCTGTTGTGTACGAGGCTGGATAGCACCCTTTTCCATTCTAAATGGATTTGATAACACAACATTATGAAAAATTTGTAACACCTTGCTACATAAGTCAATGACAGTCATATTGAAAGATGCTCAAACAACATTGAAAGGTTTAGATTTCTGAAACCTTGTGTTGCTTTAGCAAACGCTTCAAGGTTCAATTGAATTATCGCACATACGAATAACAGGATCGTACTGAACACATGTTTCTACTAAGTTATCCAGGCAAGTAAGCTGCACGGGATTAACAATGTCCTTATTTACAACTTCATTTAGCTAGCATATATGTAGTATTTAGTCATAAAGTTGGGGATGAAATATGTTGGGTCTTGTTAGATGGCAGACAACACAAAAATAAACGTAGATTGTCTTTATATTTTAAAATCAGTTAATAATGATACTGATGAGTTTTGTGTTAGAAAGTCATATGCACGTGTCAGACAGAAAATCTTCTAGCCAATATGTTGTAAAATGTTTGCTTTTTTCAAAGCTATATTTTTCTTGTATCTGTATTGGTCATTGGTTTTTAAACAACAACACTATTCCATTACGTTTTTTATCAAGATCTAAGTACCATGTTCAACGAATTTTTTAAGCCACAGCATTGCCAAATTTAACTGATTCAAGGAAAAGTTCGAGTATATAAAAAAGAGGTCGAGAGTATGGTTGAGAGTATAGCGGCTAGACATTGTTTTTCGCACTCAGCTTGTACAAGCGCGTTGGTTGTAATTGCTGGACTGCTTTCACCATTATTTGCCCTCCTGCACTACAGACACTGCAAAGATCATAAACCAGACACGGTTTGCTGGGGAATTAGGACGTTAAACAAACCAATACATCCAAACGTGCCAGAGGTTCATCGTTATAAAAATGGCCTAAGTCAAAGACCAAGGAGCAAACGGAAATTTTTCAAATCACGGATTTCACGTTATAGAAATTCTAACTGTACTTTCCAGTTACTATATTATCCAGTTACTATATTACTATATTATAAATGTTCCATAGAGCAGTTGCAAAAACACACCGAGCCTTAACCTGCAATGGATGTGCCCAGCTTTGCCATATTGGCAATGTATCAGTAACTGAACACAAACGGCTGGAGAAAATCAAAACCTGATACTGCCCTACTTGTACTAACAAGCAAATCTTGGAAAGTAAAGATTTGTTACCCTTTGCAGATTGCAGCAACCTGCAAGAATTTTTCCATTGTGCAGGTCAAACTAATGACAATGGAGATACCTGGGATGCAATGTTTAATGAAACAATTGATCAACAGTTTTCAACAATTGATAGGACATCAACAGAAAAAGCAGAAGAAAGGCTCTTAGAATTGCGTAACAAGGACAATAGAAATGTGCTAATCTGCCATCAAAATATAAACAGCATACAAAACAAAATAGAAGACCTAAAAGAACTGAACAAATCCCTGAGTGCGCAAATTTTATTTATAACAGAGACGAAAATTGACAACACCTACCCAGATGAACAATTCAAAATAGAGGGTTACAGAATTTTTAGGGAAGATAGAAAGAAGGGTGGAGGAGGCATAATGGCCTATGTAACAGAGCAAGTAATATCTAAGAAATTGAAAACTCCAAAAAATGCTATGAAAAATTCGAAGTTCTGGCATGTAGCATAGAGCTACCTGGAGTCAAGTTAATTGTTCTTTGCCTTCACAGACCACCAAAAGCTATTGGAAAGGAACATTTCCTTAAAGTCGAAAAAGAGATAAATGACATTGTAGGCTGGGCAGCAATGCAGGGAAATAAATTGGTAGTCCTACGGGATTTGAATTTAAATAGACTACAACCAGAGAGTACAGAGGGAAAAATACTTATTGGATTAGAAGAGGTACATAATCTGCAATGCATGATTGAAAGGCCAACCAGAGTCACTGATAAAACATAAACATTAATTGATGTAATTCTCACAAATATCCCAGATAATTTCCAGCTAAGCGGGGAGCTCGATTCCGGTTTAAGTGATCACTTTATGACATTTGGCCTGATGAATACACGTATCAAACAGCATAAAAGGAAAATTATTACCTTTCGTAGTAAAAAGAATCTGAACCATGAAGAACTCAAGAAAGATATTGAAGCTATGCCCTGGCAAGTGACAGAGGCATTCGATTCAGTTGACGATAAATGCCATTTTTGGCATGAATTAATAAGCCAAATCATTGACAAACACCTACCATGAAAAAGGATGAGAGTAAGAAAGAACCTTACATGACTCTGGAATGGAAAAAAGCAATCAGGAAAAAGAGAAGGTATGCAAAACATTATGGAAGAGAAAGAAATGAAGAAAACAAAAAACATAGAAATGAATGGAGGAATAAAGCAACCCGAGAAAGGCGGTTAGCTATAAAGGCATATTGGAGAAAATTATCAGAAGAAATGAAAAACAAACCAAGAGAATTCTTCAATGCATTTAGACCATTTATACAGTCCAATACGAAGTCTTCTAATACAAATGCTATCAGACTTAAAGTGGACAATGAAATTATTAGTGACCTGAAGCTAGTCTCCAAACAATTCGTGACTTATTTTGCAGAGATGGGTCACATAGATGAAGTACAGCAGGAAGAAACAGAGTCTCTTGATATGCATCCAAGTGTCATTGCAATAAAAGACAACTTTGATGTCAGTTGTGAATTGAAATTCTCTTTCCTGTCCCAAAAAAGTGTCGAAGAAGCTCTGTCATTGCTAGACCCAATAAAAGCCACTGGATGCGATGGAATAACGCCTGAATTTCTTAAAATGAATGCTGAACAACTAGCTCCATCTCTAACATCATTATATAACTCGTGCATCACGCAAGGGAAGTGGCCCATCGAGTGGAAAAAAGGAGAATGGGCACCAGTTCACAAGAAAGCAGATAAAGACGTCTATGAAAATTACAGGCCAATAACAGTTCTCAATGCAGTTGACAAAGTTTTTGAGAAGGTGCTCAGTGAGCAAGCTACACATTCATTTGGTAACAAACTAAGTCCGTGCTTGACAGCATACAAGAAGCAAAACAGCACAGAAACTTCGCTGCTGAGACTGATTGAGGATTGTAAATTCGCCCTGGACAATAAACAGATAACAGCCATTCTCTCAACAGACATGAGCAAAGCCTTCGATTCCATGGTTCCAAGTCTCCTGCTAAAAAAGCTTGAATCCTATGGCCTGGCCGAAGATTCTCTGAGATTAATAACATCCTACTTTGAGCAAAGACAGAATAGGGTCAAACTAGGAAATATAAGAAGTGAATGGAAGGAAACAACAAGAGGATGCCCACAAGGATCAGCATTCGGTCCCATGTTGTGGAATATCTTTCAAAATGACTTGGTCTTCAAAATAATGCACTCTCAGATAAGCATGTATGCCGACGATCATCAGATCTATTATTCCGGAGAGAACGGTAATGAAGTTGAGATGCGTTTGAATAAAGACATCAAGACGGCCTCACAATGGTACAAGGACAATCATCTGAAAGCAAACAAAAACAAATACCAAGCGATGGTAGCTCAAAATAGCAAGAAAAGCAATATAAAGATAAAAGTGATGGCTGATGAAAACAATGAAGCAGAACAAACAAGATGTCTTAAGCTGCTTGGTGTTGAGGTTGACGATGAGCTAGCTTTTGGCACTCATAACAGCAATTTGTGCAAGAGAGTGAGTCAGAGAATAGGTGTCTCATCTAGATTTCGTAATATAATACCTACCAATGCGAAACTAACAATCTACAAGTCAGCCATTCTCTCTCACTTAACATATTGCAGTACAGTCTGGCACTTCTGCAAAGTAGCAGATAAAAGAAAGATAGAGAGACTACAAGAGAAAGCTTTTAGAGTTGTTTATAATGATAAGTCTACGCCATATGCACAACTCCTTATGAAAGCAAACCTGCCATCTCTCCAGAATAGACGACTTCAGGACATTGCCATACTTATGTATAAAGTTAAAAACGGCATAGCCCCACACTTTATAAAGGATTTGTTTGCAGTAAAAGAAACTCCCTATGAATTAAGAAACAGCAACTTTGTAATTCCGAAATTTCGTACGGTAAAAGAAGGAAAACATTCAGTAAGATACTTTGGCCCATATCTGTGGAGCAAATTAAAGAGAGCCATCAAGGAGGTGACAACAATAACCCAATTCAAGAAATGTATAAGAAGAATGGACTTAGAAACTCTTTTAGACTGCAGACTTTAGTTTAGTTGTACATAGGATTTTTAGAAGTTTTTATGTTTTAATAATTATACTGTAATTTCATATTTTATGCTCTAATTTAAATTTATATACTTTTTTCGTTGTGTCCCCAATTAGCTTGTAAGCTAAATATTTTTTGACACATTAATAAATTTTTTGATTGATTGATTGATTGATTGAGGTCGGAGGATAAGAATTTCAAAAATGCTCGCATCACAAACCTTTGACACCAGGCAATCAGAATTATCAACTTGTCCCCAAGGTGCAATACCAATGCAGTTTATTTTCCCTGACTGATGTCCAATTTGAGTTCTGCTCATGACAGCCTCTCCGACATGTTTCATTACACCAGTGCTGGTTCCACCTACAGAAAATTTGAAAGAAGTTGAGATCAGGCTGGTGGTATATGTCTGCAATTAAAGGAAGATGCTATGGAATACCACTTTTGGATAACAAAAACATAGTAGCAATGTATGATAGTAGAAATAGTAACCTGTGATTATCCAGGCACCAGTTGAGACAGCAACTTTGATCAGGCCTTTACTAAAAGCTTCCTTTAGAGGCGGTTTTAGTTTAAAGCTCTTGGCACCTCCAGTTACTGAGATCACTAAGTTTGGCACATTCAACTGCCATTTTTGAGTAAGAAGCTTCAACAAAGGCAATGGGTTTGTATCATGGGAAAGTCGTATGTACTGAAAAAAACAAAAAACAATACCGAAATAACTAAGAAGAAAATTTATTTCATAAAATATCGAAAGGAAAGATTCCACAAAAAAATTTACCTAAAACTTGACGTGAAAGAGACAGCAGACAGTTTTTATAAACAGACGTAGGTTTGCACTGCTCAATGCAATGACTAAAAAATTGAAATTACAACTTAATTGCAAAGTTTCAGTACAACACGTCACGTCATACCATGTTGGGTAACAGACAGCATTCTCGAATAAAGGCTTTTAAGCACGTGCTTTTAACATATAAATCTGTTTTGTTGTTTTCAAAACTAACGATATTTATCACTTACACAAGCTCTTCATATGTGACGCTAGTAAATACGAAAATATGTAAATATAAATGTGATAATTGTCAGTTTTTCTGCGATGATAAGAAAATATAGTTACTAAAACTAAAGTGACAAAGTGACAATGTTCAAAGGAAATCTACATTTAAATGCAAAATCTTTAGTTAATCACCATAATAGAAAGGAAGAATGGATATGAGTTTTCATAGTCTTGCGACAAGTAAAGTTCGAGAGAAACAAATAAAGAAAAGCAGGCCAGCCAACTCAACGGGCGTTAGAAATCGAAGCGATATAGGTTAAAGAGAAGGACAAAATTTTGTGGAAAGCATTATATAATTACAGACGACATATAAGCACTAAAAAGTTCAGAAATACAACCCATTCAATGTTGAAAATATTTAAACATGAACTAAGATTGACAAAGAAACAAGTGGAGAATTGCTCACAGGTTTTCTTGTCGATGGATCTTCGGCAAACTCTATTTCCCCAAAGGTTCTTGTGCTGACTTTTTTAGTACACTGCTCTGGTGTCCATTTCATTTCAGAATCTTTGACTTCTATAAAACCATCTTGTTTGTGTTCAACTTTCTTCATACCACATTGGCAGAACCTTTCGACAGAAACAAAAACAATGTCGCAAGCAAATCACAATGAAAATAAATGAAAAATCAATGATTTCCATGAAACAGATATGAATCAGATTTATATAGACATTTTTAGCCATTAAATACTTCTGCATCGAGGCCGGCGCGGCTAAAAACCAACAAACCATTGCAACAGACAGTGCCTTTTCGTAGCTTCGTTAAAATTCAACAAATGAACAAAAATATCAAAATTTAACAAATTTATTTCTATAAGCAACTTCCGTGAGTAACTGAACTCAGCAGTTGAGTGCAGACACCCTCAATTAAGTATCAGTATTCATTATCGAAAAAGAGGTAGCCTAATTTAAAAACAGAATTCAAGAACTAGCTTAGGGACAAGAAATCTAAGAGCTACAATATTAAGGGTGACAGAGCAGCAACCAAGTAAATGAAACCAGAGTAACTTAATTGACAAATTAATGAAGGCTTAGAGATCTCATTTTTCAAAACAGAAACCAATAACTAAGTTTGGCAACAATTGCTTTAAAATCAGGTTTAGGAGCCCCCCTATTTTAATGCAGTGATTTAAAAATCTAGTTTACAGACAATAATTCAGGAGCTGGATTTATAATAAGAGACATTTCCAACCAATGAGTAAAAGAGATTTGTTAAGAATTTATGTCCGTCTCATAAAACTCTCATTCTTTTGAAAGTCGACCTAGCATCTCACTTACAGTTCATGTTTGAATGTAAAATCTAGCGCATTTAATTCTGTTTAAGAACACCTACAACATTCAACTTAAAAAAACGATGAAACAAGATTTTTTATTGATTTTGGAGGTTGCTTACTCGGGTTTAGCCTTATCTTGCACAAATTTAAAGCATTCTCGTTGATAAAATGTTCGACTGATCCAATGAGTTCCTTTCATCTACAAAATAAAGAAACAAAGAGTTATTTATTGATGAGAAATCTGTAGCAGAATTAATTTTGAAAAAATTGTTAACTTCTGTACAAGAGACACAGTTTTGCTGGACTCATACAGTTATGATATACTATTAAGATCTACTGTCAACCAACAAAGAAGCCTCTGTACTTAATAAAGTTTTCCGCATTTCTCCAAATTTGCAGGCCTTTCAAGCTTCCTGCATTTCAGGTGTCTTTCAAGCATTTTTACGTATTGCGCATTACGTTTTCTTTGCATTACGTTATCTTTGCATCGAGAGCAAATAAAGTTTGAAATTTTACTTTAATTTTCATGTTTAACTTCTGCTTCAAAGATTTTATAGATTTCAACCTCATTTTACAAATTGACCGCATGCTTATGAAAGTCGAGGGTATTCTTTACTGCTTTAATGGTCACTGCGGCGACTTGATTCAAGAAATAGGATGACCTACAATTGGGAAAAATATTAACGGAGAAACATAAGCAATGACCTATAAATGTCTGAACAAACTAGCTCCAGAATATCTAAGTGGTTGTTTTTCCAAATTGTCAGATTTCTATGCTCGCGTTATACGCAACAATGGGTCTGACTTACGAACACCATCAACGAAAACCTCCATGGGAAAAAAATCCTTGGCCTACCCTGCAGCCAAAGTTTGGAATTATCTTCGCTCAGAAACAACATTCGCACCCTCTAACCACTGCTTTAAATCTAGATGAAAGACTTAAAAGCGTCTCCAACGTGAACAACGTAAATCTGTTCTTATTTTCATTTTTTGCTCTACATTGCAATTATATTTTTAGCTTTAACAAATTCATATTGCAAATAGGCTTTTTCACAAGGCCAATAGTAAAGCAGAAAGTAATTTTTGAATTGTAACCTTGCATAAATTTGTTTCAAACGAAATGAAAATGAAAAAATGTTTCCTGATTTGTTCAAACCTGATTCAGAATTTTATGACTCGACCAAAAGACCGAGATATATGCAATCGGTCAAGAAAGTTCACGCATTATACATTCAAAATGATTGAAGATCTCCACTGGAACGTGCTGGGGATGAGATTACGAGGGGGGGGGTGGTTGAGGAGGCAAATGGTGAAAATGGCCCCCTTCTCCAGTTATCTTGAAATTTTGTTTAGGTAATTATACTAATCATCTTCCGTGCATGAAATATCTTTGGAAATCAATGAGAACAGAGGTTTCATTGACTCGTACATCACATTCAAAACGATCGAAGTTTTATTACATGGCCAGGACTTGAAGAAGTTAGTAAGCAAAATTGACTTGAGAGCTTAACTACATTCTTGCTAAAATGGATATATATTTTTGAAGTTTAATTCAATTTTGACGTCTATGTCTTAAAATAAAAAGTTCAATAGCATTTTTGCAAATTCGCGAGAGCTTTGTTCTCAATTGTCAATAACCTTGCCTTTGTAAAGGGAGATACAGTAGAAATCCGCATATAAGAACCTGTTTTTATAAGAACCTAGAGGCTGAAATTTAATCTTTTAAACCTTATAATTAAGAACCTCCAAGAGGCTGAAATTTGGAAAGGCTCTTATATTTGTATAAGGAAAACGGGTTCTTAGAATGGTATTTTGACACCCTATTCACACTGGCAAATTAAGCCAGCTTAGAGTAAATCAGGTTATGGTATGTTGCATTCTAATTGGACAATCTAACAACACAAATTCATTTGACAGGTTGAAATTTATCATGAAAAACAAAGCTGGTTTAAGTGTATCCGTTAGAATTCTTGCGGTTACAAACATTGTTAATGTGAGCAAGGCCTTTACGTATATAAGAACCTTCTTAAAAACCTTTTAGGCTGGAATTTAAAACAGCAGCCTGTTAATTCAGAACCTATTAAGGCTGCCAGTAAAAAATCTAGGTTCTTTTATGCGGGTTTCTACTATAAATCTTTTTATTCAAATGCGACCATCAAACCCTCGAGGTGGCCTTGAAGTCTTGTTGAGTGTGTGATCTCACAGGTGCGTTAAGACGGGATGTGCACCTAATAGGCCTACTGCATGGTACTTGTCACGACAAATCAGCTGTAAGGCATCAAAAAAGGATGACAGCTTGCTCTTTTCATCAGTTGGCATTCTACTATTTGCAAGACAACCATCTATGACTTCGTTGTTTTGTCTCCAAATCCATTGTCAAAATCATCAATCTCAATCAAATCACCAACATCACGTCTTCATGAACACCCCGATCTGTATCTATCAGCGGCATGCCGAAAGACCTTCAAGTGAGGGAAGGGTGGTGTAGCAAAGAAACTTTACAACCAAGTTGCGCTAGAGAATTTTCAATAAATGTATGTAATTCTTTGCATAACTCCAACTGTATTCCTAAGAGTATTGATGTTTGTATCATTTCGATGCACAACAATGATGATTGAAGATGTCACTATTAAGACAGACCGCTCAGGAGTCTACTGGGGGCCACCAAAGAAATTTGGCTGCTCTAGAGATGGCTGGAAAATGCATCTAAATATCAACTAAAGAAGAAGATGCAGAAGAGTCTGGATGGCAGTAGCAAAATCAGAGTCTGAACGAGATGCTGCAAAGATTCGTTTTTAAAGGCACATCTGCGGAATGTTTCCAAAAGCTGCAGCCTTCTCTTCCTTGCACCCATCAATAAGTAGTTCAGAATAACCGAAAAGCCAAAATCTCAACTCGCACTCTTACTGCTGACAACCCAAAATTATCAACAGCTTCTTTAAATACTGGGGGGGTATTTTAACACCACACCCCCTACATCAGTAAGTAACTGGTATCTACTTTGTGCAAAAATCAATTAGCTTTAGTATGGTGATCGTTGATAAGTGCAGTTCAGTGTCCAGCTCAAGTATTTTCTTGTTCCTTAATGTCAGTGTCGTCAGAACTAATTTCATATTGGGGGGCTGCATTCTGCCCTATGCCCCATCCTCTGCCTCCTACCAGAACGCTACCGGGCCTATTTGGCAGTTACACTGGGAGGCATGTTTGCAAACACAAGGAGCTTGCCATCAAAGAAGCAACCTAATCAGAGATTATCAATGACAATTCATAATCAATGACAAGCTTGAAATAACTTTGCATGACATTCCAAACAATTATTTCCTTGGATACTGTCTTATTCCTTTGCATATTGATATCAAATATCAAAATAATTTGACAGAGAAAATTGTGAAATCGTGATGTTAGTAAACAAGACAAGATGCTACAAAATATAGAGGCCATTTGGTTGGTTGACAATAGACAAAACAAAACTCAAGTGGAAAACTAGAACAACAGATGTAATTCCTACCTTCCCATGAGCTAGAAATCCTGATGATGCAATTGACTCTTTAGAAACCCTTCTTCCACCTTTACCAAAAGATGATTTTGTTTTCATTGCTGCAATAAACGATGTTGATGGATCCAGGCTTGTCACTTTGTTTCCCTTCATTTCAACCTTTATATCTAAAAAAGTCCTAAACTTTCAAAAACTGTTACTGAATGTACTTTTACTAAATAAAATACAAATGACCTTTTATCAAGGGTGTGGCAAGTGTTTTCTTTCAGTGATTATCTTCCAAAACTATGAACCTAGCTAAATTTAAGAAAAAATCTACAAGGATAAAGATATTGTTTTTCTAGTTTTTCAGTTTTCTAGTTTTTTTGATTTTAATTGACTCATTTCAAGGTGTCTTGATATTTTCTATTGTGTTAGGGGTCTTGGGAATTTCTAATGAAATATATGGCATGTTATTTATCAAGCAAGTCTAAAAAAGTTAGAACAAGCCAAACATAGGCAAAAGCAGCTACTCCTGTAGTCAGTCAGCATTACGATAAAGAAAGCTGAGTGTACCAGGCTAAACAAACTATGGTAATATGTCATATTTAATAAGTCAATTTAACATCTAGTGGAGCTACTTTTGCCCTGAAAAACAGAGGCAGATCTGGCTCCTACAACAACAGTGTACATCAATTCACTAGAATAGCTGAAAATAATATATAGAAAAGTCAAGCAACACAAGTTCTATCACTTGCATAAATATCTTGGATAAAAAATTTTTATAACAACCATCTTACAACTGACTTTTCATTTAGCAGGTTTGTTATATGTTTCTATTGGATTAGGGTAACATACAATGGTAAGAAGAAATTGGCTGGCTATACTGTTTGAGCTATTTTTACAAGACCCTGATGATAAAGTATGCTTTTCATACTGATAGCTTATTCCTGTTAAACGATTCATTATTATCATTATTTACTTAAGGGAACAGTAAACTGATTTGTTATTTGTGCAGTTTTTTTCTATTGCTAGATATATACCTTAATAAGTATCCCACATTTGCTAAATAGCACCCTGACTTACAACTGTCCATCCCAGTCTTAGTGCATGAGGAAGATCTTCTGCTGCTTCCAGCCTCACGAACACTATATCTTTGTAGAAGCTCTACTTGTCTCAGTTTTTTTAAATCATTTATTGAGTGTATAAAGGTTTGTTGTGTGAAAAACAAGCAGCTAAGTCAGATTTTTTCAGAACCTACGCCTCAGACATTCCACAATTTACTGTTTAATGGACTTCCATGAGCAGAAATCAAGGAATGCAGACTGGTTTACATCTCTTTATCAGAGCCATCAAAATAATCAGATTATCAGTTGCTTTATCAGAAATCGGAAATATTATCATAAATCGGAAATATTATCATAAATATACCCTGACTATTTCAATGCAACATTTTTTTGCAAAAGTGCTGTATATGCTTATTGAAGCACTGTCTTCAGAAAACACCCATTTTTCGATTTCCTCGCAGTCTAATAGCAGAGCTTTCAAGGCATATTGATACCATGTTTGAAACTAACAGAAGTTTTGAAAATACATCTTATGTTAAAGAAGGTTTCAATAACTTCTTTCTCAAAGTTTTTAGTTGAGGCCTGACAATCTATTGACCTGTAGTTACAATTACATGGCACCTCCATGTATCCCATATAGGGCTGTATTTACTTAAACAAGCTTATAGATCTTAAGCTTCAAATGACTTGACCCGGATTACACTCTGGTTTACATGACCATGGTGTGTACCTTGCAAGTAGTGACAGTAAAATCTCATTTTCTCATAACTCAAAATTCCTTTACATACAGGTACAAAAAAGCTATTTTGTACCCAAGGAACCAATCAAATGGCACAAATATTTGCACATTGCTAAGACAGATGTCAGGTAAGCAAAGTGTATGTCAAAACTTTTGCATTTGACTCTGGTCCATCTTTTATCGTCAAATACAACTGTTGGAGTGTAGAAAAATTGATTACCAATTTTTTGACATTGTATACCTTACAGTGACAGTGTAAGGAGGAATTTGAAAATTCTGAGACACACTAGCTAAGGATCTGAACTTTCTGCTGATATGAGTCAGATTTTGTTACCTCAAAAAACGCAAGGGTACAAAAAAGCTTTTGAAGGTGGTACACTCTTTTTTGAAATAAATTTATCTGGAATTTACAATATTTGCCAATTTTTTGGATATGGGTAGAATCACATTCTTCTGCATCGAATGACGAAGAGTTTAATCTGATTCTGTTAACAGTTTGGCTTTCAGGGTGAGAAAACCAAATATAATGTTAAAAAAGTTTACTGCAACCTTAACAAAATTTCATAAATGTGTAATCTAGGCACACTTATAAAAATTCAACAGACTTTTCTCTTCTTTCTCTTTTCTCTCTTCTTTGTTATTGCTTTTTTATCAGTTTGTTTTTTCTTATCTTACTGTAGTTACTTTCTTAAGCTTAATCCAGGTTTTATCTTGAAATGATTAGGTTGGGGCTCACATTTGAGAGTTCCTTGCAACTAGCGATTGTTTTATTGTCAATCATCAAGTACTCATATCTCTTTATTAAGAATACAGTTAGTACAAAAAATTGATCGTTTTTAGATCACTTCAAATGTTTTGTAATTAGGGTGTTACTCAGTTGGAATAGAATCAGGGAAACGATAAGAAATTCATGAATAACTCCGCAGTGTGATGTCAGATAGAAAATCTGACATCACACTGCGGAGTTATTCATGAATTGCTATCTAACTGGCTTGTTGGGTGTGAGATATAACATTTGCAGATGACCTTGCATACCTTTTTTATAAATTGTTCCCGAACCTCTAGAACTTGCAGATTTGTTCATGTGGTCCGTCTTTCATATTGAATGCTCAACAAATGCGGCCTAGTTCCTCTACTATTGGCAAACGCGTCAGCAAAAAATCTCAATCTTGCTATCTGCATCTATTGAGGAACGCACATCGTCCTTGAAGCTTTTACATTTCTTTGTTATGATAAGTTGAATACCAGGAAATCATCAGTTCGCAAAGGATGAAACCACAGCTAACCGAGAAACGCGCCGAGAAACGAAACGCGTACAGCTCAGACAATCTGGATAATCTAGGCCCAATTGTTGAAGTTTACTTTCACTCCAGGAGCCAGGAGAAGGCTCAAGAAATTACCAACGAAAAAAAGCAGGAACAACTTGCAGCAGGTATTGCTAGAGATAAACGTTAGTTTCTAAATGTCCAATGTTATCGACCTTCATTTACCTATAGTTCAGATAACTGTCGAAAATGGTTGCTTGCCAACAAAAAGAAACACAAAATAATAGTCCTCCATTTAATGTGATATCAAAACAATATTTTCAATGCACCTGCAATGCAGAAAGTCTGCGAATGCTCCTCCACATCTGAAAGTGAGGAAGAACAACCAGTGAGAACAACCCATAGAGTTAGGAACTATGGAACAACCCAAAAAAGAACAGAAGTAATGGTGGGAAATGACAAAAGGAAGGAATTTTTCGCCGTCAAGAGATCAATAAAGCTCAAAGAAAGCAGCTTGGAAGCTGGGAGGATAAAGGACTCGGCCAGATACCTGAAAAACCTTCAGACCCTTATATCCATTCCATACAGTACTACAAGAGCTGGGTCACGTGCAAGACCGCGGGACAGTGCTTGTGGAATCGCCGAAAATCTAAAACAATTCTTTAGTTACTTAAAAATTATTTTGTCATTGCCAAAATCTAAAAAATTGATTTTATAAGTATATTTCAACATCATTTCATGAAAGAGACCACGAAAAAAAAGCCGTTTGTACTGCAATGGGAACAGTGACGTGCCTAGACAATTTGGCTGGGGAGGAAGGGGGGGGGCGTTCAAAAAAGTTACCAGATATACTTTTTTGACGAACTATTTCTCCATAGAAAAATTTATCAACAATGAAATGGATTATCATATACACACTTATTATTGATAACAAAGTAAGAGCAAATAATGTGAAGGTACAAGGAAATTAGGTTTGCGGAAACTGAATTTATTGAATTTCACGTTTTTGGGTGGATCCATGAGCATCTTTTGCGGAAAACCAAAAAAAAGACTACAGCTTGTTTTGAGCTCCTCATAACAATAATTTAAAAAACTTGCTTGGCAAATATAGCAAAGTAGGTCAAATACCGTAAATCCTTGATTTAATTGATCTAATTTAAAGTACTTTTGGGTCAACTATAAATTATCGCAAAACATCTGAACCTGTCACCAGTGAAAAGTATTGTTTATTGGCGAAAATATATTTTTCCGCCAAAAACCACTCCCTGATGCCAAAAAATTGTTCCAAGTGTAGTGCAGTGACGTATGTATTATTGTAGTGTGTTTAGGAACTTCATGCGACGAGAAATGCATTCAGAAAAAGCTAAGATGACAATAGGCAGCCCGGGTTAAAAGTTATCCGTTTCTGCGTCGCGTTCCCACTAACCCACTTGAAAAACAGATAAGTTTGAAAACGAGTCTCATATTGCATAATTGAATAACGCGTTTTGTTGATTTAAGTCTTTTGTTTCATTATGTAGTAAACCTTAACAAGCTGTGAGAGGAAAAGAGTTGGATGGGTAGTGAAGAGAGAACAGCCAATTGGTGGTAACTCACTTTGATAGTTTTAAACTTGTAAACCTTTTTAAGCCGTCGTTTTGAATATTATGCTGTTATCGAATGTTGTTTTGATGTTTTGATTTGAACTGAATGGTTATACCGTTGGATTTGACCATTCGTTACATTGGATATTAGAACATAGGCGGGGAAGGAAAATCATAGATTAAGAAAGTTCCCAACATTTGGTGTCAAGACAATGATATTCAATGAATAAGAGTGAACATTTAGGGCATAATGGATGCAGAAAAAGCAGCGAAATCGAGAAAAGCACATCGCAAAAAGAAAGTAGGAGTTGCCGCCAAAGAAATTGGAAATGACAAGAATTCAACTGTTTGAAACCTTAGCAGCTATAAGGAAGCCGGACGAAATTATAGAAAGTGACGTTTGTGATAAGATGGGGATATTTTAGCGGAGATAGAGGAAAGCAAAACAATAAATGGAAAGTTTCTTCGGGCCTTGTTGATTTTAGGCGAAGCATTAACGCATACCGTATCATCATCGACAGAACAACATGCTGCTAGCACAACTGTTAGGCCAAAATTGAGAAAGTTGGCACTTCAAAAATTTGATGGAGACCCCAAAGGTTGGATTCGTTTGAAGGCACTGTCGAAAAAATCCTGGATTGAGCCAACGAGATAAACTTGAGTATTTAAAAGACAGTTTAGAGGGCAAAGCCAAACAAGTTGTAGCAGGATTTAAACTGACTGAGGTCAATTACAATATTCCCATTCAAATGCTGAAGGGCAGATTTGGCAGAGAAGTTGAAATAGGGCGTGCCCATTACGAAGAAGTGACTAAACTACAGCCAGTGTTAAGAAAGAACCAAGAACAATACTCGGATGTTTTTGTACCATTGATAGAAAATAAACTACCAGAGAACATTCGTTTGTCAGTGCTCCATCAAAAGGACCAGCAGTGGAACATAGATGAATTACTAGTAGCATTGTCAAGAGAAATCACAATTCGAGAGAAAAGTTAGCCAAACTTTGAATTCAGGATAGAGATATGCGAGAAGGAAAACAGAGAGCACACGAGTGACGTTGGACCAGGGCTACATGTTAAAGATGGGCAAAATATCGCTAAGCAAACCGCTCAAGCATTCATAAGATTAGGAAATAATAGAAATAATGTTAAATGCAGGGTATTGTTTGATTCGGGAAGTCAGAGATAATTTATTTCTAGTGCAGTTGCCAGTATGTTTAACGATGTTGAGAAAAAGCAAAAGGAATGATTAATGGTTAGTAGATTTGGTGAAAAGGATGCCATTGAAATGCATTGCCATATCCACAATCTAGAGGGAGAACGAATTAACAGAAAGAGAAAATTTGGAAATCCATTTACTTGTGGGATCAGTCTATTTGTAGTCATTTCAAATAGACAATATTGTTCGAGGTAAAGGTGACGAACCAGTTGCAATTGAGACAAAACTTGGCTATGTATTGTCTAGGCCATTAAAGTGAATTGCAGACGGTGAAGTGCATGCTTAGGTTTGCATTGATGAAAAAAATGAAATAACTATGAATTTGCATAAGTTGTGGGACTTGAAAACAATAGAAATATAAGAAAGAGATACAGTCCACGAAGGATTACCAGACAGTACCAGATTCAATGGAGAATAGTACAGCGTAAAATTGCTCTGGAAAGAAGGTATACAAAATGTTGACAGAAACGGGGGGGGGGATGAAAGGCTTGGCGGATCGGCGTATTTCGTTAATTTCAAGGAGCGGATTTTGTATTTATCAGTTTGGCAGAACGGATTTTCGTATTTTGTTTTCTTGGCGGATCACGTATTTTTCCGATATTCTACGACGTATTTCGGACTTCACAGTTAGACTTACTCCATGAGCCTCTGTTTCGTTACTGCCTCACTTAACTGACGCTACAACAGAGACTCATATTCCAAAGTACTCAAAAACTGGCAACTTCAATTTTGTCTCGCTCTCGATTTTTTTTCGAAAATTTTCAAATCCACCCCCTGATTTGCACATTTTGCACAGCTTTTTCATCTACATGTAAAGATGTTAGTTTGTTCGTATGTCCATAAGAAAGGACAGTCATACTCAAACATGACACTGTCAGAAGCATCCAACAAAGTGCAACAGTGCAAGCAAGTTCTTATGGACTTTGAAAGAGCAGTCTGTTCTACAGAACTTTTACCAAGTATCCTAAATGGACCACAGGAGATGGTATCTGCGGCTACAATCTAGTCAGTAGATATTTTAGCTTGGGGTTTGCAGAGGCTGGATCCTATAATGTCATCTCTTGGAATTGTAGGCACGAACCTTCTCAGCTGCATGACGTTAGATGTGGAACATCTACATTCAACAAGCCATATTAAACACTCATTATTTGCTATCAAAATAAGAATACTGTAGGGATTTTGGCAATACCGTCAAAGAAAGTATCAAGCGCTTGTCATCATCATCCTTTTACTATCACACAAGTGAAAAAGCCTCATGGTATCCAAAGCCAGAGCATGGTATTCATTCATCAGCCCTACCTTTGGTTTCCCCACTACCTCAGATAAACATGGATGAAAAGTCAGAGGACAACTCGTCAAGAAACGACCATGGCAAAACATGGCACCATGCCAGAAATGATCTATCAATGAAAGCTAATCATCACAGAGAAAGCTAACTTTGCAAATCATAAAGATACAGTGGTTGATGCAGAGGAAATTGACAGGATTGGAAACGAAGTTGAAGAAATTGAACTCGAGTATGATTCAAGTGCTAACGACGAAGCTAATGATGCAACAAATTCTGAGCTCGACACAAGGTCAACGTTTCTGGTCGGAGTTTCCACTCGATATGGAAAAGCTGTGAGGGTCAATAACAAATACATATCATGATATCGTGACTATTGGTATAAATAACACATTAACTTGACGGATTTCGTATTTCGCCGGAAAAATTAGCGGATTTTCGTATTTGTTCACTAAAAGTAGGCGTATTTTCGTATTTCAATACCCCCTTTCACCCCCCCCCCCCCCACAGAAATGAACACAACGCAATGAACCACAATGCCTGCCAAAAGTCTTGGAACACTGACATCAATTTCCAAGGTCAAAACCAATCATCCCCCTCTCCCCCACGGAACAATGTTGGTTTACTATCAAACGGATTAGGTTTTAGGAAGCACTTTCTTTTGCGCTTCTTTTATGATATTTCTCTAAATCATCAACATTGTTTGAGGGGGAAGGGGGCGGAAGTAGCAAATTTTTTTCATGAAAGGAATGAAAGATATCAAATGCAGCGTAAATTGGTGGGTGTTCCAAGTACTTTTGGCAGGCATTGCAGTTAAAACCACTTGTCAAGAAATTGAAGAATGATCCGGAAATTTTCAAAGAGTGTGATAACATTTTCAAGGAACATAAAAAAGAGAGGGTATTATTGAAAGAGTAAGAGATGATTTGAATGTCAAAGAAGAAAACAAATTCCACTTTCTACCTCATCATGCTGTGGTTAGAAAGAAGGTAGAAACGACAAAAGTTAGAGCTGTTTAGGAGATTTATGGGGTATAAGCAATGGCGGATCCAGGGGGGGGCTGCAAAGGGTGCTTGAGCACCGGTCAGATTTTCGAAGTACTGTTTCTTGTCCCTGTTCCTGTGCGTGTTTCCGAAAAAAGCTAAAGATTACAACTGATTCGATGTTTTCATCTATTTTGCATGAAAAATATCCTTTCATCTAAAGAATTTTCTTTTGTCGCGTTAATGTTTACAATCGTGGCATATTAACCGGAACAAAATTCTGGTA